CCCCGACACAACCGCGACCGCAAAGCCGCCTCGCGGCCCCGGCCAGATCCTTCGTCCTGACACCGGCACGCTCGTCGGACGCCGGCACGCCGCCAGAGCAGCTAGCTGGTCCGAGGGCGGCGCGACTCCTTTCGCCGGCCGGCTTCTTCGTCGACGCCCGCAAACTGTTCGACAGTTTGCCAAGGTACAAATTGGACTCCGCCGACGAGTTCTTTTTTCACAATTTCCTTTGCGACTCTGGCGATTCCTCATCCGATGATGAGGAGGAGATCTTGGCTGCCGTGTTGGTCCATCACCACCTCAATAGCGAGCGACCATTGTTCCGTGGCTCCATTACGGGGCACCTTCCAGCATTGAATCGCAACCGAGAGAGCGGTCATTTCCTTCCTTGGAAGGACTACTTTGACACAACGAACCCGTTGTTCAAACATCAGAAATTCCGCTGTCGTTTTCGTATGAGTAGGCATCTTTTCAACCGTATTAGAGAGGGAGTGGTCTGCTATGATGACTATTTCGAGTGCAAAGATGATGTCGTTGGAAAGATTGGCTTCTCCTCTTATCAGAAATGTACTGCAGCCATCCGAATGCTTGCATACGGAGTGCCCGGTGGTCTCATTGACAAGTACGTTCGTATGAGCGGGTCTACATGCCTAGACTCCCTGTATAAGTTCTGCAAGGCTGTTATTGCTGTGTTTGGCCCTGAGTACTTGAGAGAGCCGACTCCTGAAGATACAACCCGTTTGTTGGCGATGAATGCCAGTAGGGGCTTCTCAGGAATGCTTGGCAACATAGACTGCATGCACTGGGAGTGGAAGAACCGCCCTTCTGCTTGGCAAGGGCAGTATAAGGGCCATGTCAGGGTTTGCACTGTCATACTTGAGGCCGTGGCATCTCAAGATCTCTAGATCTGGCACTCTTTTTTTGGCATGACCGGATCACACAATGATATCAACATGCTTCAACGCTCGCCGATGTTTGCTAGGCTTGCCGAAGGCAACAGCCCACCGGATAATTTTACCATCAACGGCCACAACTACGGCAAATGATACTACCGGGTGACGGTATCTATCCTCAGTGGACCACTATTGTGAAGACAATCCCCAACCCTGTTGGAGAGAAGAGGAAAATATTTTCCCAAGAGCAAGAGAGTGCTAGGAAGGACGTCGAGCGTGCCTTTGGTGTTTTGCATTCTCGATGGGGCATCATTCAGTATCCTGCTAAGACTTGGAGCATGAAGAAACTGTGGGAGGTGATGACTGCTTGTGTGATCATGCACAATATGGTCATAGAAGATGAGCGCCCGGAACGTCTCGACGATCAAGGTTTTCAGTTTCAGGGTGAGAATGTTGTGCCTGAGCATGGAGGAGCGGCAACCTTTGAACAGTTAACTCAATTTCATCATGACATGCGAGATTGGGAAACACACATGCAACTTCAAAATGATTTGGTTGAGCATATGTGGGCTCATGTTTGCAACCAATAGATGTATCTTTATTTTTTCGGCTTGCAAAACTATGTGAGGCTGTCTTATTTTTATTCGGCTTGTAAAACTTCATATGTTTGCTTGTGAAATAGTGCAAAATTTGTGTATGAAACAATGCAAAATTTGTGCTATATGTTGAAAAAGGGCGGTCAGCCGGCCACGCCGGCAGATATGGGTTGGCGCGTTGGGCGCACTGCCGATCCAAATCTCAAACAGGGCGGACGTCAAGCGGGCGGCCGACCCAAACGGATAAAAAGCGGACAAAAACGCCGTCCGTTTGGGTCGGCGTATTGGAGTTGCTGTGAAGTGGTCAAATCTGACGCACTAAACGTCCACGCGTGCGCTCGGACGCCCCATGTGTAGTGCCAGTCTGGCCCATGTTCTCTTTTACAACCACAACCTCTATTTTCGAAATCTCAAATTCATCCAAATACATGCAAGTGCATCATTTGATAATACATGATAACCGTGAGTGAATGCCTCATACAAAAAAATTGTATATAAAAATACATAATTCAAACATAAAATTTATTTGAAGTGCATAATTCAAACATGAAATTCATTGATTTCTAGCTTGGACCCGCATACTCCACAAGATAATTTAGTTGCACGGTGCACCTGTTGGTCTCGAAGTTGCCGATGTATCTCTTGAAAGTTCACAATATGCCCGCATCTTATTCTAGGAGGCAAACTCGTACTCCGAACTTCTCAAAATCATGTGTGTGGGTTGTTCCTTCACCCTCATTCTTCATGGTCATGTTATACAAGATTACATAACATGTCATCAGCTGCCACAATATTTCGGTTCCGGCATCATTGTAGCTCCACGAGCAATACCCCAACGAGCTTGGAGTACACCGAATACCCTTTTCACATTCTTTCTGGCACCTTCTTGCATTTGTGCAAACACACATTGTTTCCTACCTCAGGGCTCGCATATAGTCTTCACGAAAGCCGCCGGTGCGAGGATAGGTACCATCACAAGGTAGCACCCCATTGTATAGTTGTGTCTTTTGACAGTGTAGTTGCACCTCAGAGCATGCCTATTGCAAGTCTCTTGAACAACGGAGATTGCTGGAGCATATTGATATGATCATGAGAACCAGGCATATGCGAAAGAAAGTCTGCCTAATCCACAAGTCCTTTGATGTCACTGCTTCAAGTATGGTGGTGGCCTCTTTGGAGTTACCTTGGTAATGTCTACACAAACCTTTCAGGTAGTTCTTTCATTGCAATGCATGCAATAAACAGAACCGGGCATACCTGGGAAATCTCTTGCTACTTCAATTGTTAATAACTTTTCTGTGTCCTCGATAGTTGGTTCTGAGGTACTTTGGTCCAAATACCTTCACCATGGCACGGGCAAATTTCACCACGCCCTCGAGGGATGTGGTCTCCCTATCCGGACTTTAGCATCAAAGGCATTTGCGGCTTTACCACATGCAAGAATCATGAGAGGAGCCGTGCATTTCTACATGGAAGAGAAGAAAAGTTGTTTGCAACAATTCTTCCTCGGCTTGAGGAATATATTCCTCCACAACATTCACTACGTGCAAGAACAAATGTTTACTCATCCAGAAGCAATATTGAAAAAAAAACTCATGATATGTTGT